GCTCGAGGTCAGTGACCCCATCGTGGTTATCAGGGATGCTAAGCTCGTTCTTGTATAGTTCTTCTGTGTAATTTTACCACCTCTTCTTAATCTCTTCTGCCTCTGTTAGGTCCCTGCCATTTTGGTCCTTTTATCATGCCCATCTTTGCATGAAACGTTCCCTTCATATCTCCAATTTTCTTGAAGAGATCTATGGTTTTCCCTATTCTATTGTTCTCTTCTATTTCTTTGCACTGTTCATTTAAGAGGGCATTCTTATCTCTTCTAGCTATTCTCTGGAATTCTGCATTCAATTGGGTGTATCTTTCTCTTTCTCCCTTGCCTTTCGCTTCCCTTCTTTCCTCAGCTATTTGCAAAGCTTCCTCTACTGTATATTTATCAGGGATATGATTTAGTTCATACCTGAGTGGCCTAGTGTTCCCTACTTTCTTTAATTTAAGCCTAAATTTTACACAGAAATAGTGTTTGCAAAATGAAGAATAGTAAAAACGCCTGAACCCGAATTTCTCCATAGTAAAGTTTACACACAAAAAAGCTGCAACCTGGCAGGATAGCAAGTGTGCAATTTGAACCAGCCTTCTTCACTGACCAAATGCAGACTTACTTCTTTCCTCAACACCCCATTCCCATGTCACACTATTTAGTCTGCACCATTATCAACTGAAATATGACTGGATCCTGCTACTGTACTGATTGGCTCAAAAAAGATGGAAACAAGGAGCCTAAAAACAAATCACAAAACAATGCATGGTTCATAACGGGAGGCACACTCAAAACTACATCCCTTGAAACAGGCAGATTTTGTTTCATTTTCAACCCCCCCTCCCATGCATTCTGTTTCACCCTTGGAGCACTTTACCAAGTGGTTGTATAGTACACTGAATTATCCACAGACTCCCTTTTACTGGATGTGTTCAAGCTGTAGCTAGAGAACCATCTTAAGGGATGCTTGTAAATGAGATGCCTGCACTGAGCAGGAAGATAGGCTCAGTGAGGAAAGGCTGCTTCCAACTTTAGGATTAGGTCTTCTCTTCAAATGGGCATTTGGAACAGTAGTAGCCCATTTCAGGTATTCTTTTCATTAGGAAAGGAGCTATTGAAAGTTCAACAATTTCAATGGGTAAACTAAATATAAGTTCAACTATATTAAAATACCTAATCACTGCTACTCTAAAATACTACGTACATTTAGAAAGCAATGGACTTAATGGCAATTTAAATTATTTTTCTAGTTTATAAAAATAATGGTGTTTAATTGTTTTCTCCATTTATGTTTTGAATTTGGTAACTTTTAATAAGCTTCCAAACAAAGAGAAAAACATTCAGTCATGTTAAATCTAAACCATTCCAATGTTTACTTGTTCTCTGAAACAATCTTATGGAAAAAATATCAGCTAAAGTTGATTTATGAACAGAAAGCTGGTCAGTCTCTGATACTATGGAGATCAATTTAACAGAATATCTTCATCTGTAAGAAAAATTAGAAACTATACTATCAGCAGTTGCTCATGATTTATAACCAAAATGCTTGAAAATTGTCTGAGTTCAACAAGTGCTTGTTAAATCATGTCATATATGAGAAATATATACAATCATATGTATAATAAGCCCCAAATCTATATTTAATAGATTAAAGAACCTTGAAGGAGAAATATATTTTTTGTATGGGAGTATTTCCCAGGTTGAAAGCTAAACATTTTAGCTTTTAGAAGCTGTTGTTGCATATAGAATAATCAATGAACCCAAAGGCACTTTTTCCAAGAGACAATTGGACTTTCTTGCATTTTTTTTCTTTGAAAACATTTCACTTCTCATCCAACTAGCTTCTAGGATGAGGAGCTAAATGTTGTCAGAACCCCTAAGCATTTTGCCTTTCTTTCCTATGCATTTTGCCTTTCTTTCCTATCCTGCCATTTCATTTTTCGGGTTCTGCCATTCTAATGGGGGAGGGGGACTTATGGGCATTCAGCAGTGTACTTTCTTTGCTTTATTCTATTCTCTTTGAAGTATCTTTCTTGGGGTAAGAATGGAATGTGCCTCTGGCCATCTGCCTTATCTCCAAGCAGAGGGAAGAAGCCGCAGAGACACCTGACAGCCTTGAGACCAGCACCTTATAAATTCTTTCTCACAACAATTGGACACCTATGGATTGGCTCTGTTTGAACCAGCCGGACGGACACTTGGGGTGGGGTTTGAAAGGGTTCTTTTAATCTACTGTTTCGTGTGGGAAATCCTCAAATCCTGCCCATTATCCTGCTGTCAACACTTTCCGATAAAACTTCCAATGCAAGTTTCAAGAGTTCTGCTTTCTTGGGTGGTTTAATTGAGGCAGGTCCTTACAAATGTTTTCAAAGAAGAAGAAAAAAAACAAAAAAGTCCAGTTGCCTTTTGGAAAAAAGCACCTTTGGGACAACCATGATCTGGATAATTGAGAATCTCCATAGACAATAATCAATGAAGTACAGGTAGTCCTTGACTTACAATTGTTCATTTAGTGGCCACTGAAATTTACGGCGGATCCCAGCAAAAGGTCCCAAAGTTATGGCTACTGCAGTTGTTCTCCCTTATGACTGACTGCAGGAACATTGCCTATCTCCTTCTTATCAGGTTCCAACAGGACTAGGGCCTGCTTTTCAGCCCACCAGGTCCCACATTCTTCTCTTTGCTTACTTTTGAAGATCTTCAGAGTTCCTGGCCTGGTGGCAAGGTCCTGCAAGTGGCAGCTATTTTCCAAGTGACCATAATTCAATGCAACTGCTTAGAAAATGGCAACTGCTTCCAGGGTTGTGCCACATGGCCCAGCAACCAAGCATGTTTCCCTAACCCAAGCTCCACAGTCTTCTGCAGGACTGAAGAAGGCTGTGGAGCTGAGGTTAGGAAAGCCACTTCATTCCTGGGTCATGTGGTGCAATCTCAGAAGTGGCCATCATTTTCTGCCTGTGGATACACGATGGGGGAAGAAACTGGCCCAAGGGCTGGGGGACCCCAAAAGATGGAAAATGGAGCATTGGGTATCTCAGGGTGTGGGCTTGAGCCTGTGCTAGGCCTCCCCTACCTAAGGCACCCCATGCTCTGCTTAATGACCGCATCAGGGAAAGCAGAGGGTGAGAGAGGTCATTAACAACTATCGACAATGGGCAGTCATAGGTAGAGGACTAACTCTATATTCTTTGTTACACATGATGCTTAGTTCTCACCAATGTGGTAAAACTTAAGTCTCAACTATACTACTTGATACTATAGGGGCAATTAGCATAGCTTCTACATAAAGCCATCCTCTCACACACACTTTACCTCAAAGGCTGTCCTTCATTTGAGCCTCTGGGAATGTCTGATAATCAAATGTTTTTTAATTCAATTAACCAGCATATTCAGAAGCTTTACAGTTCTGGAAGCAAGCAGCCACACTTCAGCTGCTTTGCTTCTCTTTTCCTAAATTCTATGGTTAAAATCTGAGGCAGCTCTGTGCCACAGTTATCTCTTTGCAACAGGAAGATTATTGTCAAGTTAAAAGGATGAAAATATTAGCAGACTTGTTGATTATAATTTCCATAATAATCTTATTGGTACAGCTTTAAAAATCTAATAGATGAACTGGTAATTAATATAATAATTTCATCAAGTACCTTAAATGATTCATCAAGAAGTCATCATGTAACTTACATCAATTGATAACAGCATACATTTTATGTCACTAAGCAGTGTTATCCACCCTCATATTTTCTGCTTAATATTAATTTTGGCACTGACCAATTTTGAAAAATGATTGGTGAGCAAAAACTCTAAAATTCCATCTATCCCTGGTAGGGGAAATATTGTGTAATCTTGTGAGTGGAAGAGCACTTAAAAGAGATTAATTTTAAATTCTTAAGGGTTTTTTTTTGTTCACTGATTTCCCACTAAAAATGTGGTCCCCTCAAAGGACATTTTAAAATCAAACATGAAAAACCATGTTTATTAATACAATGTATTTTACTATAAGACCAGGAAAGATCAAAAAGTGATACAGATAGTTCTCATTCAGCGACTGTTTCATTTAATGACTATTCAGTTAAAAAAATGATGAAAAAATAATTTTGTGGCAAATTGTCCCATTTACAACCTTTGCAGGTCTGTATAGCAAAGAAAATCAAAATCATAAGCACAACTGCAGTTTCACTTAGCAAGTGCTTTGCTAATAACCAAGTTGCCAGTCATAATTATGGTTGTTAAGCAAGGACTACTTGTATAGCTAATCCTAACTTTTGTTTCCAAGTCATTTGATGCTGAAGTTTTCTTTAAGTTCTACACCAGGGTGTCAAACTGCCAGCCCGTGGGCTGGACGCGTCACATGGAAGCTACGCCCACCCCATTGCTGGCAACGGCAAAACCAGCCCGATACGTTGCGCGATGTTATGTGACGTCGCGAGTTTGACATGCCTGTTCTACACAGTTCTAACCAGCAAGACAAAAGCAAAGAAATATTCCCCTCCTCACATTTTTTATCTTTCCAGCCATCCCACCCTCCCCATTTTTCCTATATAACTTACTTCCACTGAAACCAATGAGTGCAATTAACTGAGCCTAGCTCTTCAACTGGCATAGTTTAGCAACTGCTTTGTAGGAGTGCTGGGAGGCTGTCTTGCAGTTCATTTTTTTTTTGTTAGGAACACAAAAGCAACTTTTCTCAGTTTTCCACAGGAGCCAAAACAAGGTTTCTGAGATGAAAATGTTCCCACCATCTGGAAAACCACAAATCTCTATTGCCCATGGACTATAGAATTGAAGATTAAATCAGTCAAAGAAAAAAAGATTTCAAAATGTATACACTAATGTAAAAAGATTTTGGAAAGACAGGAAACATTGAACACTAGCAAATTATTTTAACAGTCTAGATTTTCATTGTTGTAATTATTCATTATCATAACTAAATAGAAGTAGTGCATAATAAATTATTATCTACTAAAATCTTGAACATTAAGACTATAGTTGAATATTAATGAAATATTTCTGGACCCTACCTTAAAAATCATATGTAGCATCAACTGAAGACCAGCCTTGCCAGGATATTTACCAGCAATATTTGCTGCAGATAAATTGAACAGATTGGCTCCTGTTTCCGTGCACAGAGCATGAATAAGCATTTTTTTTCCTACTCCTTCAGGGCCAACCAAGAGCAAGGTTTTCACTAGAGGAGCTTTTTCATGGACAGATTGAGAACCTATAGAATAAAATTAGTACAATGATACCATTAAATTGTTTGAAATATATGTTTAAAGAAAGTTTCTTTCTAATAGCCTAAACTGTAATATCTACGTGCTGGATATGGGACAAACCAACTAATGGGACTGTCAAAGGCTTGGCAACAGAATGGATCAAAAGAGAACTTTCATTTCCAGGCTGGAGCTGAAGAAAGCTTTTTTTTTAAAAAAAAACATTTTCTAAACAATTTAAGATTCAACCTTTTTTTTACAATGACTTAACAAAAATTAGCATTTTTCGGTTTAAATTAACTGAATCCTAAGCTAATTTTGTTCAAGCCACCTGTTTAAGGTCTAAACAGGATGTGGAATGAGATAGTACTTAAGAAGATTTGACACTTGTATCCGGTTTTGGTCACTACAATATAAAAAGATGTTGAGACTCTGGAAAGAGTGCCGAGAAGAGCAACAAAGATGATTAGGGGATTAGAGGCTAAAACATATGAAGAACAGTTGCAAGTACTGGGTGTGGCTAATCTAGTGAAAAGATGAACCGGGGGTGACATGATAGCAGTGTTCCAATATCTGCGGGGCTGCCACAAAGAAGAAGGGATCAACTTATTCTCCAAGGCACCAGAAGGCAGGACAGAAAACAATGGATGGAAACTAATGAAGGAAAGAACCAACCCAGAACTAAGGAGAAATTCCTTGGCACTGAGAACAATTAACCAGTCAAATGGCTTACCTTCAGAATTTGTGGGTGCTCCATCACTGGAGGTTTTTAAGAAGAGATTGGACAGCCACTTGTCCAGAATGATATAGGGTCTCCTGCTTGTGCAGGGGGTTGGACTAGAAGACCTCCAAGGTCCCTTTCTGTTATTCTGTTAAATGTGAGCTTCACAATGTGATTTCCTGACAAACTTTGTACAACATTGGAAAATATCTGATTGGGAACTTAAACTTGTGAAACTAAGCAGCAATTGCAAACTAACAGTATAGGTACAGTAGTACTTGAATTACAACAGCAATGGAGATTGAAATTGCTGACATTAAGTGATGCAGTTGTAAAGTGCAATATCATGTGACTGCATCATTTAGCAAGAATCCTGGTCGTCTTCATTGCCACTGTAACTCCAAGATGTGCAGATCACTAAGAAGGAAGAAGTGAGAATCCCAGGTAAGCAACATGAGGATGCAATGAGGGAAGCTGCAGGGGGCAGGAGAGGCCCAGTGCAGGATGTGAGAATGAAGGTAGGCTGGGGGAAGCAGGGTACTATTCTGCCTGAATGAAGGGAGGTATGAGGAAGCAGGGTGCCACATGAAAGAAGAGAGGCTGGGGGAAGCAGGGCATTGCACCATATGCATGAAGGGAGGCCAGGGAAAACAGGGCCAGGGAAAGCAGGGAGCCACACAAGTGGAAAGAGGCCAGGAGAAGCAGGGTGCCATGCCAAATGAGTGAAAGGAGGCTGGGGTGGGGGGACTTACTGAAGTGACATGCAACCTTCCCTGCCAGCTTCCCATTTTCTTGAGAGAAGTCAAATTGGTGATTACATGACTGAAGGTGGTTGGATGGTTGGGTTACAACTAAGGGTGAATTGGTTGCCAAGCACCCGAATCATAATCACATGGCTATAGGAATCGTGCAATGGCCAGAACTTCAAGGACCAGTCATAAATTCAGTGCTGTTATAACTTCTGTTACCAAATGAGTAGCCAGTGAGGATTACCTGTGTGTGTGTGTGTGTGTGTGTGTGTGTGTGTGTGTGTGTGTGTAAAATGAAAGTTTAAATTGGAGCAAAATAATTTCCCAATATATTACATAACATGCAGCAAGGGATATAGATACATTTAAAGTATGGTTTCTGAAGTTTACATTAATCAGTCTGTAAATCAGTACTGTACTGTACTGTAAATCAGTCAAAGCACAAAGAAGTCAGAATTTAAATATTTCTCTATATTAATTTAGTTTTACCCTTTTTTCTTTTCTTTTTTCTGATTTTTGATGGTTACATGCCATCAAATTGACTTTTAGAGACCATATAGATTTTCTCCAAATTCTCTCTAATTTGTCCTTCAGCAATTCAAGCAGGGAATGTTGCCACAGCCAATTCCCTGCAGCCAACTTGCCACAGCCAGCTCACCACGGCCAACTTGCTATGGGACAACTCACTGCAGGACAGTTTAACAATTCTATTTAATTATTTAAAATAAATAAAAAAATATTTTGACTTCCGATTCCGGATCACGGCGTCTCCAGCCGAGTGCAGAGACTGCTCTCTTCGCCGTCTGCTTTCCCTCTGCCGGTAGACTCTTAATCGGGTCGAAAAGTCACCCTGCAGGGGCGACTACCATTGAGGAGGTCCTTCCATGGTCCGAGATTGCTCCTTAGGGCCGACGGAGGAAAGATCGGCCAGTAAAATGGCCGATCACATTGCTGCTGTAACCAGAAGTCAGAAGAACATCTAAGCGTAAAGAACCACCGTGGTTGATCTGGGTGAGATTTTTTTTCCCTCTCTCAGTCCTTTTTTCTTTTTTGTTTCTTGTAAAAAGCATTTTTGGAACTATTTCCCTGTTTTAAGAGAGCGGCGTTTGTGAGTGTGGGATTAGAAGCTTTGAAAATGGAATGAAAATTAACTTTAATTGACCATTTTTTATTTTCATCTACTTTGGGGTCTTGAAAAAACTCTTATTGAATTTTATTACTGGACTTAGTTTATATGTGAAGAATATTATTTTTTTTCTTTCTGATTTTGTCAACGTCATTTTTGGTGTCTGGGAAGAAATTTTACAGTCTACTGTGGAGAACTTCAAAATTGCAACTGTCTTTTTTTTTCTCTGTTTGATGCTGAAATTGGTTTTGACCTTTAGATCATCATAAAAGGTAAAAGACAAAGAAATTTAACAGCTGTTAAATTTTTGGGGGTGGACACTGGCTAAAGGTTTTTGAATACAGCCTCCACTAAAAGATAACAGGACTGTTTCTAGTTACTATTGAAATGGAGAAACCCTATTCACAACTCAACTATAAACTTATATTGGAAAAAAATTATGAAGCTATTGAGCAAATATGTCTGCAAATAAAAGAGAGTATTACAGAAATAAAAAACAGAAACTCTACTTTGAACCTACAAACTAACTTTCAGTTTTTACCTGATTACTCTACGGACCAAAAAACAAAAGAGGAATTAACCAACATTAAAGAAGATTCTATTTCGTTTTATACACAACCTATTGAAATTCCTGATGAACAAAAAATGATTGTAACTAAACCACCCACAATCCTAAAACTAATAGAAATGGATGTGCAAATACAACTAATTGAGAACCATGATAACTTTGATAACCAACTATTAACCACAAAATTGGACATAATTGAATGTTTTACCCAGCAGATCCAAATGTTGAGACTTGAATTTTTAAAACAACAAGGGACCATCTACAAAGGAATCAGGTCTCTAAAACAGAGGAGGGGACGCTCTTCTTTGATTCAAATGATACTACAAGGAACAAAGAGAGATCTATTTGTTGATATAGAGGCTTTGTTATGGAAACCTATTTGGCACAAAAAGAAAGCTAGAATAAGATTTACTCGTGTGTCCTAAAACCGTATACAATGGGTTTAAAAGGCTTTTTAGACATGGATTGATTCAAGGTTTAAGATTGGTAAATAAGACGTTAGATTGAATAAAGATTAATTAAATATGTGAACTTAGTAAGAAGATGTTTGTTTTTGTATTAATATGTTTGTTGTGGATATAACAATTATTTGGAGTGGATTTAAATCCTACTGAGTGGATTAAAGGAGTTTTATATAGATACTGATTGATTGATTGATTGATTGATTGATTGATTGATTGATTGATAG